GCCGGTGCCCGGCTGCTTCCGCATGCGGAGCCACAGCTACGTGCGCGCCATCGAGAAGGGCTGCTCGCAGGACGACGAGTGCGTGTCCCTGCGCTCCGCCTCGCCGCCGCGCGCCGCCACCACCGTGAGGACCATCCAGAGCAGCACGGGTGAGTGCGCGGGGCGCCGGCCTGCCGGCACCGCCCGCCGTCTCCAGGCACCACGGGCCACCCGGGCCCCTCCAAGCAGCGCCTTGACCTCCCTGCCTCCCTCTGGCCGCGTGCGCGCCCACCCGGCTTTCTCTGTCCCCAACCCTGCTTTCGACAGAGGAAATTGCAACTACAGGACCAGAAGGGACAGCATAGGTGACAGGTCTGCACAAGGTCCCCACACAGCATCCTAGATGCCAGCAGAGTCATCCCAAACAACTCCACTCTCCATTACCAGGCTCTGCCTTTTAGGGGTGTGACACACGCCCCGATTGTTGAGCATCACCGAGTTGGAATGCTTTTTTAATTCCAAGATATCCACAAAATGACTATCCCCAAAGGCCTGCGGTATCACTATGAGAAAATACGAAAGGAGGCAAATGATCCCGTAGTACTGATTGAACATTTTATGAGTTCCCTTTCGTTGTAACAGGAGACAGATTTATTTCATTATTTTAAAACCTTCTGACTGTCGTGTGTACAGAGCACCACCTTTTCCCTCTAAATTGAATTTAGCTTTATGCCGTTAAGCTGTATTTTTATCAGTAGATTTTAGGCAGAGAGGCACAGAAGAGCTTAACTGGTTTCCATGACACTGGAACCTGCACAGGAAAGTAGCCATGAGTTATGTACAACATATGTGGGGGGTTTTATATTTATAACATTTGTGCCCAAGAAGAGAATCCCCTTCGTCTTAACAAGGCTTAACTTTATGATTAAATTTAGCATAACTCCAATACAGAGTAGTTCTACAAGATCATCAACCCAAAGTCAAGATAAATAATGATGAATAAATTAGAAAAAAAAGCCCACGCCAGAATATTGTATTATTCAATTTCTATTCTAGGTACATCAAATGTCTGTAATTATCATTCAGCCTAGAACTTTTGCAGGCTTGGGAATTAATCAGTCCTCAAACCTGAGTTAAAATTCTACTAACTAGAAATACAAGGTTGAAGTAGGAATTTGGAAAAAAAAAATAGAGGTTAAACAACAGGAGTTCATTCTTGATGGGTGCTAACAAAGATCTCAGGATTAAGGAAAGAGGTGCCCCTATGCAGTGAGGGAGCTCAGCCACTCCTCCCAGCTGGCCGCCTGCAAGCAGAGATAGTGGATGTATGTTCCTGTGCACTCAGAAATTCTGTGAGAGCAAACACACATGAGATTTATCATTTAAACAAGGTTGATTTATGAAATGGAAAAATATTTTGTAATTATCATGGGCATATTTATGTGTGTGTTTACATTTGTGCAGTGTGCAGTTTAAAGGTCTGCCCTGTGCCTGCAGCATATCACTGTGTCTTAGGGTGTTTTCTGTTTTCATCACCCCCACCCCACACATGACCCTTTCCCAGTGTCTGGGCCATTCCTCACTCCAGCAGTCTCATTGCCTGCCTGCTGCTCTTCTCACCGAAACCACCCCTTAAGTACACAAAATGCAGGTCCTTGCTCAGAAGAACCATGGGAAGGAAAAGGGCCACTGGCTTACTCCTTCCACCTCAGGGAACAGTGTTATGGATAAACTGTCAAGATGGCTTTTTTTGCTCACCCCTCAGAGGTTTTTGTTATTTGTTACTTACACTTCCACACTTTCTGTGACAGTTCTTGTCGCGTGGTCTTCACCCCAAACACCTGACCTTCCTAAGACTGTTCCAGATACTCTGGAGGTTCCCAGAGTCCAAACAACAGGGTTGCCAGATAAAATCCGGGTTGCCAGTTAATTCAGACAGTGAATACTTTTGTAGTGTAAGTATGCTCCAAATATTGCATGGAACATTCTTATACTACAAAATTATTTGCAGTGTTTATAGTATTTGCCAAATCTGACAAGCTTATCCAAGGAGATGAGGGGTGGGAGGGTGAACTGTGTTGTTATATTTAGAATCCAAATTGAATTGGAGAGGCTTTAGCTGGAGGTCCTCTGTGGGAGAGCACCCCAAAACCGAGAGAAGTAAACGAAAACGCCGCGGAGGCGACTGCATCTGCCCTTCTTGGGCTCTGTGTGTCTCGTCCTAAGCAGTGGGCCCCTGCCTGCAGCTCTCTGGGTGGGAAGGCGGCAGGCTCGCCTGCAGCTGCAGGGGGGTCAGGGCAGGGAGATGTGACTTGCCCTCTGAGCGGAGAAGCGTAAAATAGCAGATTTTTGCACAGGGCTTCACCCTTACATCAAACTGAACATTAAGATGTATCATCTTTACAGTTGTGAAAGAATAAACAATTTAAGGGGTTATAGACCATCATAGTAGATTCTGAGTCAGCACATCAGATGTGTAGAAGTACAACCTTAAGAATTTTAGTATCACCTTTCAGTTTCTCTATACCATAGATTTGTTCTTTTTTAAAAAGTCATTATTTTATGATATAATAAGGTTCTGTATCTTTCATTCTACCCTCCCATTACTCCTGGGTGCTTGTTTCTCACCCCCCCTTCCCTTTCTCTCTCACATGATCTCAGTACTATCATACTAATTTTCTTCTACTGGTTTCCTTCTTACATTGAATCAAATACAATTTCATGTAGAAAATAGAAAAATTTATTTTCTCACAGGATCTACTAATTTTTTAAAGAATGAGCTCATCAGTGGAAATCAGGAAATTATTCTGCTCTCATTTTAACCATTTCCCCCAGGTACACACTTCAGAGTTACATCCATGTTTGTATGACACGATGTGGATTTTCCTTTTGTTTCCCTTCCTTTGCTCATATTCTCGGGTACTCACAACACAATCCACTTTTCCTAAACTTCCCCTTGCCTGAAAAAAATTCTTCATTTTGGCAAATTGCAGTTATTAGCTATAACTTTGCCCCCACAACAATCCACATTCTGAGTCTTTGATTTTTGTGTCAACCCATTTTAATTGTTCAAATTTTCAACAAACTACAGTTATGCTTTTCTCCTCCAGCCTTGTTCATTCTTCATATTAGCAAAATGAAACCACAGACAAAAGTTCACAAAAAGTGCCTGATGCCGTTTGGGAGAGTCATGGCAATGGGCTGAGTTCTAAGTGGCCCTAATGATCCCTTGGCAGCCTGAGTGAGGATTTGTCCCAGCAAAGCACGGCAAATTGGGGAGTTAGAGTGACATATGCTTCTTTTGATTTACTGACTTTTTGGCTTATATAAATATGATAGAATCTGATATTCTCTCAGCCTATATAATCTGCTTCAAGCACCCAGGTATCCTTCCATCTAATAGACTGAACAAGTTTTTATATAAACCACAACACCTGGGTAGGATTAGAGCTACTGAAGGAAAGTAAAATGCCAAAGTAGACAATTATCCTCACAACTGTGAGGAAAACAGGCACTCTTACTCAGTAGCCCAAATATTTTAGGTAAAAGTAGAACTTGGTGCCGGAAATATACCCAAACCTCCACTTCAGAGTATTGGATTAACCTGCCTCGTCTGGAATATACAACTGCAGTTGTTTGTAATCAAGGATGAGTTTTCCTTTTACTCCCTAAGTTGAGCATTTTCTAGGATCTATCAAAAGCATTACCGCATTGTGGCTAGAGAGACTTGTATCTGCTGATACCAGTAGCCTGAACAAGCAAAAACATTCTATGGTAATCATCATTGGATACACCCATGCAGATACACAAATAACCCCCGTAGTCAGAAAAAACAAAAAAGTAAAGCTTTCGCAGGGCTACCCAGGAAGCGGGAGGGTCAGGGCATGTGGAGAGAGGGAGGTTTTCAAATAAGCACTTACTGCTTTTTGTGATTTTAAAAGTCAATATAATATTTGAATTAAAATAACACTCAAGAAATAGGCAAACTGTCCTGATATATGATTCTTTGGTCTTTTAAGAAAAAGTTTCACTTTGAAATTACATGCTTTTTAGAGAAGCTTTATGTAGCAATATCAGTTTTATAAAGAGCCAGTAGGTTCACTTGCCACACTTACTCTTGAAGTGTGTATTATATTGTTTTTCATAGGGGAAACTCTGAAATGTTGATCAGGTTGAACTGGCCTCCTGCCCTTCTCAGAGGCCCCAGCAAGAGCAGTGAGGGCCCAGGATAAATGTCCCTCTTGGCAAGCAGCCAGTGTCCTCCAGCCAGGAGGTCAACAGAGTTTGCCCTTTTGGGTGTGGCATGGGGCCACGGGGACAGCAGTATTTACAGTTTGATTTTTCTAAGAGAGATCATCTTTTTCCCTAAATTGAGACACATCCGTCCATATTTCTACTTCACATACTCTCCTAATTGCTATCAACTCTGATGCACTCAAGTCTTGCTCAGTATAGCAAAACCTTGTAGGTCATCTGAGGTCGGGCCAGTGGTCAGTTCCTCTCACACACTTAGTTCTTCAACCCCAGCCAGCCATCCCAATGAGATTACATCAAACCTACCTTCATGCACCCTGCACCCCAATCCCATACACCCTGCTCCCCACCCTACCACAAAAAAACACACACCTGAATTCATCAGATCTTGAGAAGAATAACATTAAAGCAATAATTTATGTTTGCAATATGCATAGTAGACATTCAATAATGGAGGAAGGAAAGAGAAGGAAGAAGCAGAAAAATACATTTTTAATTGTGCTATAAATGGCATACAATATTGTATAAATTTAAGGTGTACAACGTGTTGATTTGATACATTTCTATATTGAAATATGATTTCCACCATAGTGTTAGCTTACACCTCTATCATGCCACATAATTATCACTTCTCTTTTGTGGTGAGAATATTTAAGATCCAGTCTGGTAGCAGCTTTGAAGTATATAATACAGTGTTGTTGACTATGGTCGCTATGTTGTGTGTTAGATCTCCAGAACTTACGCATCATTTTAAAAAATATTATTTATTGACTTGAAAGAGAGAGAGGAAAGGGTGGAAAGAGGGAGAAAGAGAGGGAGGCATTTATTTGTCATTCCACTTACTTATACATTCTTTGGTTGTTTCTTGTATCTACCCTGACCAGGGATCGAACCAGTAACCTTGGTGTATCGGGAT